ACTGGTAAAAATTGAATTGGCAAAGACATAGATTAATGGGAACGCACATCCTCTTGTGAGGATGTAAATTCGCGCAATAGCTTTGACCAACAATTCAGCATTACAGATATGCATACTGTATGTTCCAGCATTTCTTAGATTTGTACCTAGAGAAATTCTTGTTCCTATTTACCAATACACATATACAATAATGTTTATGGCAACATTGTGGTTAAAGCAATAGCAATAACCAACCAAAAAACAAAAAGAAAAAACTAGAAACCACAGTAGTTTGGATATTTAAATTGTTTTATTTTCATGAAATGGAACACAACGTAATTTGGATTATTTATTTATTAAAAATATATGTTTACTGATTTCAGAGAGAGGAAGGGAGAAGGAGAGAGAGATAGAAACATCAATGATGAGAGATTCATTGATAGGCTACTTCCTGCATGTCCCCGACTGGGGATCGAGCCCGCAACCTGGCCATGTGCCCTGACTGGAAATTGAACCTCAGTCTCCTGTATCCTAGGTCAATGCTCAACCACTGAGCCACACCGGGCTGGGCAATTTGGATTTTTTAAAAAACGGAGGAAGACATACAACATGATTCCATTCATTTAAAGTTTTAAAAAAAGGTAGTGAAATTATACTTAACATATGTAGTATAGAAAAAACTAAACAGTACATTTGTTGGAAAAGCAGACCTGTGAAATATTTTTAAAAAGGAAAAAGCCAGATACAAAATGTAGATTAGTGATTATCTCAGAGCTGAGAGAAGTACACAGGGAACTTCAAAGATTTTGATACTGTTCTGTTTCCAAAACTAGATGGCCAGTTAATGAGTACTTGACTTTTATAGTATAATCTAAACTGCATATGTAGGGTATCTCCCCAAAATATATACACACACTTTGAATAATTATAAAGGCAGTGTTTATTCAAATACATTTCATTTGCAGAATTGAGCTATCCGCTGTTAAAATATGTATACATTTTTGGGGGAGGGACACCCTGTATACATTCAATACATTCTTCTGCATGTATTTTACAATTTAATATTTTTAAATAGTTAAGAAATGCCTGGCCAGCGTGGCTCAGTGATTGAGCGTCGACCTATGAACCAGGACGTCAATGCTCAATTCCAGGTCAGGGCACACACCCAGGTTGCCTGCTTCATTTCCTGTCTGGGGGCTCACAGGAGGCAGCGGATCAATGACTCTCTCTCATCATTGATGTTTTTATCTCTCTCTCCCTCTCCCTTCCTCTCTCTGAAGTCAATAAAAACATATTTTAAAAATAAATAAATAAAATAGTCAAGAATGTATGTCAAAGTAGGAGGTTTTTATCTAAAGTAGTTAATAAAATATTTGGCCTTGAATAAACCATGTTTACTTGTCTGAAAAATTAATTTACCCAGAGCATCTCTTTCCCTGAAAATAACTCATAATCTAGTTTTACTATTTTTTCTTCTGTATCTCAGCTATGTTATACAACTGTGCAATGATATTACCACTATTACTCTAAAAGTCCAGTTCGTCAAAGAAAAGCACAAGGCATTCTCCTTTTAGGGTTCTCACCTCAGTGAATTCTAACACACTGGGGCTTCTTTTACCTTTTACTTCATACAAGGATATTTTTGTTTCTATCAGCCTCATATCCTATACCCTAAGATAAAACTGTATGATAGCCCCACTCACGCTTCTTAATGAATACCATTCAGAGTCTGTATCCACAAGGGAGGTCTCATACTGATGTTTTATGATTCATAATCATTAGAAGGATTCCTGCCTTTGATTATAATGAGTTCTAAGTAGAGGGATTGTTTAAATTATTCAGTACAGAATAACCATTTATTTGGGAAAACTATGGGAAAATAAATTTGTGTCATCTAAATGTTAAGACAAATGCTGGAGAGCTGAGGTAGCATGTCAGAGAAAGTATTAAGATGGACACCTATAGGTAGTGGAAAATGTGTATACACTTGCAGTCTGTCCTTTTTCTTCTGGGGATCTGAATAAAACCTTACTTTTTTTCTTTTCCTTTAAAAAAACCCCAGCTTTATTGTGGTATAATTTACAACCTGTAAAAATGTCTCCATTATAAGTGTACAGTTCACTAATTTCTAGTATATTTATATAGATAGCTATGCAACCATCACCACAAAAAATTCAGTTTTAAGAAAAATTGATTTCTGCAAATTTAGAATTTTTATTCATTCCTACTCATTTTTCACTATCCAACTTACAACTTTTCCTTATAATTTTCTCCTATTCTGGTGAATATTACCTCTCCTTCCTCTGAACTCTGTAATACTCATCTTTCCCAAAGGACAGATTTTAGATATCAGTTATCCAGAACTATGCATATAACTTAAGAGGCAGTTATAAACCCTCTTCTATCCTCCAAACTCTTTGTCATACTACTTGAAATTCTTTACCACCTTTCCTAAAACCCCATCATTAGACATATTTACTTACTGAATATGGACTGAATAGTAGCTAGTAAGTAGTATCATGTCAATGTTAAATTTTCTAAATTTGATAGTGATTATATAGAGAATATCTTGGTTCTTAGGAGATACTTGCTGAAATATTTAAGGATAAGAATTGTAATGCTTGCACCTTAATCTAATGTGGTTCAGCAAGTTAACATTAGTAATAATTATATACATACACAAAATCATATGGGGTGGATGTGGGAGAGACTAAGAGAATGTGGGAAAATGTTAATAATTGGTGAATTTAGGTGGAGAGTACATGGGAGTTTGTCATACAAATCTGCAATTTTTCTGTATGTTTGAATTTTTTTTTTTAATTTTAAAGAAAATGTATTCCTTTAGTTCAATGGTTTGCTGACCTAGTAGCACATTAGAGTCACATGTGCTGGAGATTTTGCTTTAATTGGTCTTGGGTGGGGTCCAAACATCTGAATTTCTTTTAAATCTTTCTGGAGGAATCTTTTTTCTTTTTGTGCTTATTTTCCTTCCTTTAAAACATCTTGCAAGGTTCCAGGCATAAAATAACTCCTGTCCTGGCCACTGTGGCTCAGTTTGTTGAGCGTCAATTCCTGGTCAGGTCATATGCAGGGATTATGGGCTTGATCCCCAGTAGGGGGCGTGCAGGAGGCAGTTGATTGGTGTTTCTCACTCTCCCTCTCCCTTCATCTCTCTCTAAAATCAATAAAAAGATATTTTTAAAAATAATTTTTTAAAGTCCTCATTATATTCTAATTGAAGTGAATTCATTTTTAAAAAGTAACTTTTTAAATGGAAGCATAGATGAGACTGATGAATGTTAGAGGGATGGAGGGGGAGAGAGTAACCAAAGAATTTATATGCAGATACGCACAAGGAAACGGACAATGGTGGGGAGAGGGACTGGGGAGGGGGCAGGAA